TTTCTTTAAATTCCTCTGTATCTGCCAATTCCTTTCTATATAATGACTCAGTATATTCCTTCCATCTTCTTTCAATACTTCCTGGATCATTTAATATTCTGCCCAAAGCATCCCTGATTACAGAATAGGTCAGCGAAATGCAACACAACAGTTCCAGATTTTCTGCTAGATGCAGTTTTTTCTCCTACTGGGCAGAGTACTTCCTGGCACCTTACCGAGGCTCAGGGATGCTGGTTTGAAATTTGTTTCTGCACTTGATGTATCTGTACCTCTGCTGTAACCATGAGCAGGGTCCTTGGCTTAGAGTTAGTATAAATCTTACTTGGGTCTCAAAATGAACATATGTGAACAGATTTGAGCTCATCCTGTAGCAAGGAGACAACTTCCTTAAACCAGAGTGTGAAGCAGAACCACCCAACCTAGACAACCCAGATAAGCCAAGCCCTGGCCAACCCACAAAAAAGCATGAGCAAGAATAAATGACAGTTCCTGTAAGCCACTGAATAAGGAGGTGTTTGTTACAAACCTTCCTTGTGGCAATAGCTAAGACAGATTACATCCTCAAGGTCAAGACTATTCTTCCCTCCAAATATTAAAGAAAACAAAGTAACTCACCAGTCTCACCTTTCTTCTTTGACTTCTTCTTTGAAGGAACCTCTTGCTTTGCTTCTACCTGGATCTGGACTGAATCTGCAATTTTGTCCTGGATTGCTGGTTCAGTCTTTTTGCCCTGATTGGCAGCTGTATCCTTCTTTCTGTCCTGGTTGGGGGACCCCTCTGCCTTTTTACTTTGATTGGTGGCTCCATCTATTTTTCTCCCCTGATGCACCATGTTCTCCCCCTTCATATTTTGATTGCCAACTGAATCTGCCCTTTTGCCCTGGTTTTGGCCCCCCTCGGACTTTTTCCCCTGGTTCTGGCCCCCCTCAGACTTTTTCCCCTGGTTCTGGCCCCCATCAGTCTTTTTCCCCTGGTTCTTGCTCCCACCAGTCTTTTTCCCCTGGTTCTGAGCCCCTTCAGTTATTTTCCCCTGGTTCTGGGACCCCTCAGACTTTCTACCCTGGTTTTGGCCCCCTTCACCCTTTTTGCCCTGGTTCTGGCCCCCCTCAGACTTTTTACCTTGGTTCTGGGCCCCTTCAGTTATTTTTCCCTGGTTCTGACTCCCCTCAGACTTTTCCCCCTGGTTCTGACCCCCCTCGGACTTTTTCCCCTGGTTCTGACTCCCCTCGGCCCTTTTCCCCTGGTTCTGACTCTCCTCAGTCTTTCTGCCCTGATTCTGTCCCCCCTCTGACTTTTTGCCCTGGTTCTGACCCCCCTCAGACTTTCTGCCTTGGTTCTGGTCCCCTTCACCTTTTTTACCCTGGCTCTGGCCCCCCTCTGACTTTTTGCCCTGGTTCTGCCCATCACCCTTTTTACCCTGGTTCTGGCCCCCTTCAGACTTTTTGCCTTGGTTCTGAGCCCCATCACCCTTTTTACCCTGATTCTGGCCCCCTTCAGACTTTTTGCCCTGGTTCTGATCCCCCTCAGACTTTCTGCCCTGGTTCTGGCCCCCTTCAGACTTTTTACCCTGGTTCTGAGCCCCCTCAGACTTTTTGCCTTGGTTCTGACTGCCCTCAGACTTTTTGACCTGGTTCTGGCCCCCTTCAGACTTTTTGCCCTGGTTCTGGCCCCCTTCAGACTTTTTGCCCTGGTTCTGGGCCCCTTCAGATGTTTTGCCCTGACTCTGACCCCCCTCAGACTTCTTGTCCTGATTCTGACCCCCCTCAGACTTTTTGCCCTGGTTCTG